TAAGGGCAATAATATATTCTCAGTCTTACTCTCTATCCCCTTTTTAATTATTCCTAACATCCTGTTTGCTTTTTTGACCACCTCTGCACACTGTGTGGACATTTTCAGAGAACTATCCACGATGACTCCAAGATCTTTTTCCTGACTTGTTGTAGCTAAATTAGCCCCTATCATATTGTATGTACAGTTGGGGTTATTTTTTCCAATGTGCATTACTTTACATTTATCCACATTAAATTTCATTTGCCATTTTGTTGCCCAATCACTTAGCTTTGTGAGATCTTTCTGAAGTTCTTCACAGTCTGCTTTGGTCTTAACTATCTTTAGCAGTTTAGTATCATCTGCAAACTTTGCCACCTCACTGTTTACCCCTTTCTCCAGATCATTTATGAATAAGTTGAATAGGATTGGTCCGAGGACTGACCCTTGGGGAACACCACTAGTTACCCCTCTCCATTCTGAGAATTTACCATTAATTCCTACCCTTTGTTTCCTGTCTTTTAACCAGTTCTCAATCCATGAAAGGACCTTCCCTTTTATCCCATGGCAGCTTAATTTACATACGAGCCTTTGGTGAGGGACCTTGTCAAAGGCTTTCTGGAAATCTAAGAACACTATGTCCACTGGATCCCCCTTGTCCACATATTTGTTGACCCCTTCAAAGAATTCTAATAGATTAGTAAGACACGATTTCCCTTTACAGAAACCATGTTGATTATTGCTCAACAGTTTGTGTTTTTCTATGTGTCGGACAATTTTATTCTTAACTATTGTTTCGACTAATTTGCCCGGTACAGATGTTAGACTTACCGGTCTGTAATTGCCGGGATCACCTCTAGAGCCCTTTTTAAATATTGGCGTTACATTAGCTAACTTCCAGTCATTGGGTACAGAAGCTGATTTAAAGGACAGGTTACAAACCTTAGTTAACAGATCCGCAACTTCACATTTGAGTTCTTTCAGAACTCTTGGGTGAATGCCATCTGGTCCCGGTGACTTGTTAATGTTATGTTTATCAATTAAGTCCAAAACCTCCTCTCGTGACACTTCAATCCGTGACAGTTCCTCAGATTTGTCACCTACAAAAGCCAGCTCAGGTTTGGGAATCTCCCTAACATCCAGGTGCAGGCAGTGTTAGGTCCATGGAAGAATTCTTCTGTCAACCTAGCTGCGGGTTCTTGGTGAGGTGGATTAACTACAGACATTGGAGAACCCCTCCCATTAGCATAGGTGGAGTCTACACTGAAGCACTACAGCAGCACAGCTCCAGAGCCGGACCCAGTATCACTGTTGCCCAGAGATGCATGGGGCCGTGAGTACTGGGGCTTGTGACTTTGTGTTGCAATAAGGAAGGAGGCTGTAGCTAGTTAAACATAGAGGTTGTCGCTGTGTGTGGGTTTGCAGAGAGCAGCAGAAGAGGGCACTAGAGGGGTTTGCTGGGGAAAGTTTACTGGCACCAAAGACAACCTTGAGAACCCAAGACTCTGCCAAACTGGAACTCTGCCCAGGATTCCTGGACTCTGAGTGTAGATGCTCAGTGACTGCTGCTCCATATTGTGGTACCACTGGATCAGAGGGTCCTCGTGTTGGATGTAACCCTGTTTTACCGATCCTCCTATCTTTCCCCCATTTTTATCCATTCATTCCTCTGTAAATATTTCCCTTTCCTATATTAATTGTACTATTTCAGGGTGTGTGTTTACTCCAGGGGGCTTGGAACTGGTGCCCTGGGCGGGGTGGAAGGGAGTTTCCCTATTGTATTCCCATGGGCGCCTTTTCTTGGCCGGAACTGCTGGCAGAGCAGACTCCGTTTTGGCCACGAGTGCACTAGAGTTACGTGTGTGAAACACCATGCGCTCCTGAATCAATCCTTCAGCTAATCAAATGCTCATGCACAAAGATCAGATACCCATGAGCCTGCAAACGTTGGGCTAGCAGCCTGCCTTGTACAGAGATGTGTGTCGGAAACCAGGATGGAGATGGCCAGGCCTAGTGGTCAGAGCCAGAATTAGGAGTCCAGGGTGGCCAAAGCGAGGCTGGGGGACTGGGAGCAAGGCAGCAGCAAGGCAGGGATAGGCTAAGGCCTGGGGAGTTTTGCCACCATCAGGCAGGAGAGAGTTCCAAGCCCTGAAGTCACACTGAGCACATTGAGCTGCTGTTTCGCCTGTGGGGCTTATATACCTGCTCCGGGAATCACATGGCCAGTTCCTGGCTTGTGGATTGGTTGGAACCTAGCACAGGAGTGATCATGGGATTGGCTACAAGCATTGCCTTTGGTGTGAGATCTAAGGTGCAATTGACCTGGGGTAATTGATTGGTCCTTTGATTCTGGAAGGAACCTAAATATTGCTCTGATTCTTGGTGTAAGGGACCATCTATCAAAGGCAGATTCACCTGGAATGCAAGACAAATCGGAGCAGAGAGGGGGACTGTCTGTGACTCCATGGTTAGGCTGTTATAGCGCCTGAGCAGTTTACATTTGATAGCTGGTTGCTGAAATCTAAGTATAGAACTCACAACCAGTTTGGGGGTGTGCCCTGCTTCCTAACCGTCTGCCATGAGGTTGGTATTCACGCTCATGAGCCACTGCCGGCAGCGTTACAGGCAGCAGAGTCTTTACAGGTGTAACCGTGCAGTATCTAGAAAACAAAGGCAAGGCAGAAACATAACCAAGCCCTCCACAAACAGCGGAGACGATTCCTAGGAGTGAGCTGATGAGAAACAACAGGAGTGGTGGAAGCCCATTGCTCGGGGGTGGACAAAGCACTGGAGAATGCATCTGTCACTGGAACAATCTGTGCTAACCCCTGCGGCAGGGTGGAGGAATGTTCCATCTCTTCTGTGATTCTATAAATAACAACTCCACCCCCTCTGTGCAGACACATGCACAGCCCAGCACACACGACCCCAAACATAGGCATGCATATATGTGCATGCATGCACCCCACACACACCTACATACATGTACCCTCCCACACCTGCAGACACACAGACGTGTACCCACCCCCATCTGCACACACACACAGGTGTACTCACCCACACCTGCATGCAAGCACCCACACACATTTGTGCACACACATGCGTGCAGCCGCACACACAAGCACCCATGCACACAAGAATAAAGAACAAATTCCTCCCCGTAGGCCCAAGTGATCATGTTCTGGGTCTCTCTGTGCCCAGTATGATGTGCTGGCTGTCCCTTTAAGATAGCTGTGCTGCTGCAAGCCCCAATCTCAGAGCAGGCACAAGAGCCCAGCCTGGGCACACAGGACATGCCAGATCCCAGCTGCAATCCCCTTTGATCCATTCCTGAGCCCCCTCCAGCCCTCCATCCCCATAGTGAGAGGGGGGCTCCCAGCAGTAGCAGGAGGAAGACAAGGAAGCATGGCCTGTCTCCCCTCCAATCCCCTGCCAACCTGTCCGCATGTCCCTTCCCCGGCCCTATCCCCACTCGCCCCCGCACCTCTCCCCATCCACTCCTCCCCGCAGAGGGCTCCCCAGCTCACTGCCCCCTCTAATCCCAACTGCTTCACATACATTCTCCTGAAAATACAGTGAGTCCCGCCATTGCATAGTGCAGTATAATCCAGCCATGCCCCAGATATAGATGCCAATCTTCATCATCGTCTGCGGCACTGAGAGGGGGAGGGGTGGGTGGGGACTTGGCAAAAGGATCCTGTGGGAACAATGGGGGTGTCACTAAAATAAGAGCCCACCACACCAACACACACACAGCACCCGTGCCACACCACATCTCCCCAACACAGAGCACCCATGTCACACCCGCACCCCCCCACACAGAGCACCTGTGCCACACCATAACCTCCCCCAAAGAGCAACCCCCCCACAGACCACCTGTGCCACACTGCCACCCCATGACACACAGAGCACCCGTGCTGCACCACAGCTCCAAACACAGAGCACCCGTGCCACACCACAATCCCCTCCGCACAGAGCACCCATGCCACACTGCAACCCCCCACATAGAGCACTTATGCCACACCACAACCCCCACACATAGAGCACTTGTGCCACACTGCAACCTCCCCCCCCACAGAGCACCCGTGCCACACTGCAACTCCCAACACACCACTCTTGCCACACCGCGTCTCCCACACACAGAACACCCATGCCACACAACAACCCTTACACAGAGCACCCATTCCACACTGCATTCCCCTCACACAGAGCACCCATGCCACACCACAACCTCCCCAGAGCACCCTTGCCACACCACAACCCTGCACACAAAGCTCCCGTGCCATACCGCAGCTCCCCACACAGAGCACCCATGCCACACTACAACCCACCCCACAGAGCACCTGTGCCAAACCCCGACCCTCCAAACACAGAGCACCAGTGCTACACCACAACCCTTACATAGAGAACCCGTGCCACACTGCAACCCCCCCCACAGAACACCCATGCCACATTGCAACTCTCCCAAACACACAACACCTGTGCCACACCGCAACCCCTCCCACATAGAGCACTCATGCCACACAGCATCCCTGTACCCAGAGCACCTGTGCCACACTGCAACCCCCTGACACACAGAGCATCCACTTCACAACCCCGCTAAACAGAGCACCTATGCCACACTGCAACCCCACAGAGCACCCGTGCCACACCACAATCCTCCCACCACCCCCACAGAGCACCCATGCCACACTGCAACCCAACACACAGAGCACCCGTGCCACACAGCAGCCCCCCACACAGAGCACCCACACCAAAACTCCCACATATACACTAAGCACCCGTGCCACACCACAACTCCCCCAAACACAGAGCACCCGTGCCACACCACAACCCCGACACAGAGCACTCAGGCCACACCGCAACCCAACACACAGAGCACCCATGCCACACCACGACTCCACACACGGAGCACCCGACTCCCGAGCCACACCGCAACCCGCCCCCCGCCACAAACACAGAGCACACGTGCCACACCACAACCCCCACGCAGAGAACCCGGACCACACCATACACACACTCCCGCCCACCCCCACACACAGAGCGCCGTTGAACACCACAACCCCCGCCCCTAGCCAACCACCCGGTTCTCCCTCCCCCCAGCTCTGCTCGTAGTGCTGGGCGGGGAGGAGTCCTGGGCGGAGCAGGAGAAGCCGGGGCTGCCAGCGCCGCCGCCTCTGCAACGGGGACCCAGGAGCCGAGCCCAGGACGAGGGGTCCCTCGTGCCCGCAGCGTCCATCGGCAGCGCGGAGCCGAGGTGGAGCTGGAGCCTTGGCCGCGGGGCTGGCCCCTCCCTGCCCGGTAGGCAGCCTGGGAGAATAACTGTCTGTCTTTGTGTGTGTGCGCTCGCGCGCAGAGGATGGCAGGTGTGTATGTGTGTGTGTGTGTATGTTTGTGTGCAGAGGATGGCGGATTCTGTGTGTGTGTGCGTGCAGAGGATGGCAGGGTGTGTGTGTGTGTGTGCGTGCGCGCAGAGGAAAGTGGGGTGTGCAGAGGATGGCAGGGTGTGTGGGGTGTGTGTATGCAGAGGATGGCGGGGAGTGTGTGTGTGTGTGTGTGTGCAGATGGTGATGTGTGTGTGTGTGTGTGTGCAGAGGATGGCGGATTCTGTGTGTGTGCAGAGGATGGAGGGTTCTGTGTGTGTGTGTGTGTGTGTGTGTGTGTATGGGCACAGAGGATGGTGGGGGTGCGTGTGTGCAGAGGATGGTGAGTTCTGTGTATGTGTGTGTGCAGAGGGTGTGTGTGAGAGAGAGGATGGCAGGGTGTGTGTGTGTGCAGAGGATGGCGTGTTCTGTGTATGTGTGTGCAGAGAACGGTGATGTGTGTGTGTGCGTGTGTGTGTAGAGGATGGCAATGTGTGTGTGTGTGTGTGTGTGCAGAGGATTGCGGGGGTGTGTGTGTGCAGAGGATTGCGGGGTCCGTGTCCCTCTTGGCCATGCGGTGGGGGAGCGGGCCTGGCCCTGCCGGGATGCTGGTGGCTGCGAGTGCGGTGGGGCCATGCCCCGTGCTGCCTGTGCCGGGGGAGCGGGCAGCGAACGCAGCCTGACTCCGCTCGGGTGGCTCCAGGGTGACCCAACCCCCTGCGGCCAGCGGGCGGCGAGGTGGCCGGGCCCGTCCGCCCCCCGCAAGTTCCCGCAACCTTCCTCCTCACCCCGCCCCTGCCTCCCTGCCCCTGGTCCCAGCCTCCTGCCCGCCCCACTGCCCCCCAGCTCCTCACCCAGTCCCTTCCCTGCCCTAAACCCTGCTCCTGGCCCCCCAGTCCTCTCCCCACAAACCTGCCCTTGTTCCCAGCTCCTCACTCAACTGCCTCACAACCCTGCCCCTGCCTGCCTGCCCCCTCCCTGCCCCTATTCCTGGCTCCCTGCCTGTGGTGAGGGCTATAAACAGTGGCAGCTTGGCACGTTTGGAGGCAGCTGGGTGAGCTGTGGGGTCACCAGCAAGACACTGTCCTGTCCTGGGGAGAGGGGGTCAACCTGAGCCATTACTGCACTTGCTGCTGATGAGATCCCCTTGGTGTAGGGGGCTCCTGCGTGCCCAGGGCGTGGGGGCAGGCATGGACACGCCAGTCCTGCGTGGCTCAGGCTAGGATGCTGCTGTAACCATTTAGTGGGACTGACACTTCTCATCAGGGCAAAACCAAACCAAGAGGAACAACCCACCCCAGCTGCTGGTTCCAGCATGGGGCATGCTGCAGGTGGATGCAGCAACAGCCCTGGGCACTGCGGGCACAGCCCTGCCCCAGCTGTAGCCCCAGCAGAGGACTCTGCCCCGGCCACAGAGCGTACAGGGACGCCCACAGCTTTCTGGCCTGGGGGGACCAGCAGGGAAGGTGGCGCCTAGTGCCAAGGCTAGCCTGGCGCGTACGGAGGGAACGGGACCGTCTGGCAGAGTCCTGGCCCTATGCAGGCTGTGCAGGCTGGCCACCTGGAACCAGCAGGGACAAGGCAGGAATCGAGGTGCTCAGGGCCAGAGAGCAGATTTCCCCCTTGGAGCAGCTTCACAGCGTCGCTGGGGTCTCTGGCTGATGGGCTGGGAGTTTTGCAGCCCTCGGGAAGCCTGGGTGGGCATCCTGGCCTCTCACCTGCCTGGCCCGGGGGACCAGTGCCAAGGGAAGCTGAGGCCTTGGCTATGGGGGAGGGGTTTGCTGCTCTGCTGGAGCTGAATCTACTTCTTGTCGCTTAGAAACGAGCGTGCTAATGCCTGTGCCGTGTGCAGCCTGGCGCTCAGCAGAGGGCGTGGCTGGGATCAGCGTGGGCACAGCTCTGCTGCGTGGCACAGATACAGAGGAGGGGGGAACAGCAGATGCGGGGCATTGCTGACTCCCAGCCTGGCAGTGGGGGATGCTGCTATTTCCCTCACCCCCTCCAGGAGCCAGGCACCAGCCTTCCCTTCTGTGCCCGACACCCCCTTCCCGGCAGGCAGCCCTTTCCCCTTGTCCTCAAGGGGCTTCCCCTTGGTACAGCTCCCGCACTGCTCCCCACTCCATTGCCAGTGATCTGCAGCCAGTTCCATGCTGCCTCTGCTGGGGGGCTCTGTGAAGGGCCCGGGTGCAGCTTGGCTCACATGTGCAGGGCTACAGGCCTGGGCATCCATTCCGTGCCCCGCAGCTCCCAGCCCAGCTGTACCTAGGGGCCCCCATGGCGCTCAAGCCCTGCTGCCTCGTATTCCTCAGCAGTGTGGCTCCCAGGGGTTTGGGGTGCCCAGAGCAGATGGAATCCTCCTTTCGTTCCTGGCCTTGTACAACCGCTGATTTGTGCCTGGAGTCCTGGGGCCAACACGCTGGCAGGGCCAGCAGCTCTGAGTGCTCATGTGAAGGGCCAGGTGGGAGCATGGTGGCCAGGACACAGAGTGGGGCCCCATACACTTACTACAAGGAGTGCACCCATTAGCTTCTACAGAGGGAGCCCTGTGCCTGGCAGGACTGAGCCATAGGCACTCGGGGCACAAGGTGGCGCCCACCTCTCTGGATCGGCTCCTTCGGCCGTGGAGGGTCTGACAAATCGCTGCCATCAGGGTTCCCTGCTGCCAGCCTGTGGATCGGGCACCATGTGCCCACTGCTGGCTTCCCAGCCAGGATCTGGCCCCTTCCTCACTGGATCCCAGTCAGGGCCTCGCCACGTCCTGCAACGCCAGCAGGGCGCGTAGCCCAGCCGCACATGGCAAACCTAAGCTCCCGCAAAGGGCAAGAGCAAGGGCAAGACCCTAGCTGCTGTGCCCCCAGCCCAGCTCCTGTGGGTGCTGTGCCTGGAGGGGAACGTGGGAAATGGGCTCTATGGCACAGGGAGATGGACTGGCCTCGCAGAGTGAAATAGTGTGTGATGGTTACTGTTATCTCTTGCCCTCCAAACCCCTGCAGCACTCAGCCCCACATGTTGCCTTAGCCCCCCAACTCCATTCCAGCCCCCCAACTCCATTCCAGCCCCCCATTTCCCCCCACATTCCTTGACCCTCCAACCGCTCCACATTTCCAGAGTCTCCCAATTCCCCAAAAAAACCCACATTCCCCAGAGCCCCCACATTCCAGCCCCCTGAACCCCCACATTCCGAGCTCCCCAACTATACTCCAGCCCCCCCCCACACCCACACATTCCCTGACTGTCCAACCCCTCCACATTCCCCAGAGCCCCCCAACCCCACTCCAAACCCCCACTTTCCCTGAGCCCCCAACCCCACTCCAGCCCCCTGCACCCTACATTCCCTGAGCTCCCCAACTCCCTTCCAGTCCCTGCACCCCCACATTCCCAGAGCCGCCCAACCTCACTCCAGCCCCTGTACCCCCCACATGCCCCTGATCCTGCCCATACACCCCTGCATCCCTTTGGTGGTGGGAGGCAGTAGATCATGGCCAGGAGGAGCAGCGGGGGAGGGGTTGGGATTTCAGAATCAGAGTTCAGTTCAGGGCTGACCGGGCTGGCTTTCAGGGGCAGCCGTTCCTGTGCTTGCCCAGGATACAGTCCCCGTGGACGCCCCCCACATCAGCCAGCCCCAGGCAGAGCCCAGCAGCCAATCCCTGCTGGGAGGGTAACACTCAGGGCAGCAGGCTGGGCACAGCCAGATTGTTGCTAAGGCAGGGCCCTGGGTTACCCGCCTGACCACTCCAAATTTGATTGGCATTGAAACCTGGCGCACAGGGGGGCACAGCTCTGCTCAGATTTGGCCCAGCCACGCCAGCGGAGGTGGGGCTCTGCCATTAGCACCCAGCTCCGGTCAGGGGCCGAGGCAGGGGCGTGGGTCCCCTGCAGCCCAGCCTGAATGCTGGCACCGCGCCTGGCCCTCCTAGCCCTGGGGGATGGCACCGCTTGCGCCGACACCCCTGCCCTGAGCCTGGCACTGACGTGCCTCTTGGTCCCTCTCGTTCCAGGTGCGGGGGGTAGCACCGGGATGAAGAGACGCACCGCCACCTGCTGGACTCTCCTCCTGCTGGCTGCCTTCTTCTGCGACAGCGTCACCTGCAAGGGTGGGCGGGGCGGAGCGCGGGGGGCGGCCCGTGGCCGGGGCATGGCCCGCAGCCGGGCCAAGGCTGCCCCTCGCTACGGCTCCTCGGGAGCGGGGCTGCGGGTGGCGGCAGCGGCGGCGGCGGGTGCGGCGGCAGGCGTGGCGGCAGGAGCGGCCCACAGGAGGATGAGGATCTCCGGACAGCTTGGTCCAGATGACGGCTCTGAGTTCCAGGAAGGCAACAGGACGGGCAGCAGCGTGTACAGCTACCGGTCGTGGACCTCGGCTGCCCGGGCCCAGGACACGGCGCACCTTGCCATCTCCCTCTGCCTGGTGACTGGCTTCTTCCAGCTCCTTCCCCTGTAAGGACCCATGGTGCCCGACCCACCCTCCGTGTGTCGGAGCCTGCAGAGCGCCACCTGCTGGGCCCGGGCAGCACCAGCCCCATCCAGCTGCATCTGCCCCAGCCCCCTGCAGGCCAAGTGGCTCTCCTGCCTGCCGCGGGGCTGGAGCAGCCTGCACTGCCCAACGGGCTGGAGCTGGAGCAGCAGCCAGCGAGGCAACTGGGGCAGTGCCCCAGGGCCTGATCCCACTGGGGCTTTGCTCTTGGCTGTGGTGAGGGCAGGTGGTGCAGCCCGAGGCCCCCAGCAGGGGGACCTGGAGCAGCTGCTGTGGGTGGTGTGAGGTTGCCGGGCACTGCCATCACTGCAGCTTGTGACGTCCCCACTCATGCTGATTGACATGGACATTTCCCAAAGCACCAGCCCTGTCAGCCTGTGCCACGAGGGGCAGAGTCTTGGCCCACAGGGTGGGGTGGGGCCAGGGCCCGCAGGATAAGGCAGAGCATGAGGGGCGGAGCCTGGGTCAACAGGCTGGGGTAGGGCCATGGGTGCCAGTTCCCTGCCTTGGGGCCCCACTCTCCTGCCGAACTGGGGTAACATGGAAGGGAGGCCGGAGCGGCCCTGTGTGTCCTGTGGGGGCTGTGGTGAAGGGCGGCTGGGGTGGAGCTGCATGGTGAGGGAAGCAGCTCCACTCTGATATCAGTGCCAATGTGGAGCAGGATCTCCTGGGGGAGGAAGGGGTGTGGGGATCTGGGACTCTGGGCCAGCCTGTCCAAGCATGTGAGGGGTCGGAGCTGGGTGTGATGCGGGAGTCCACCTCCTCCTGGCTTGAACCCCAGCCGCTGGCACTGACTCAGGCTGGTGAGGATGGTGCCGGTTGATTCCACAGATGGAGGCAACGATTAGAGCCAGCTGCTCCCAAACCGGAGATGAGTCCCCTGGCTCCTTTACGCCCAAGGGCCTCCTTGCCCAGCCGCCGCTTCCTCAGCACTCCCAGAACACCTCCGCCCTCCCCAGACTGCCGGACACTGGCTGAAGGGGTCTGAGCCCCACTGATCTCAGCAGCGCCCACCAGGATGGACTGGCTCCTGCGAACTCACTGCCCAAATGGGGCCCGTCGAGCCAGGCTGCTTGGGGAGAAGCCTGAACAGCACTACCAGCCGTAGCCCTGCCTTGGGAGCTGCTCAGCTGCAGGTTGCCCTGACTTACGCCCTGGCTGAGCTGTGCAGCCAGGCAGAGCTGTACTGTGTTTCTGGCCCAGCCGAGCCACCTCCCAGCAAATATTTCAGCTGCTTTGGATAGGGCTGTGGAGCGGGTGCCCATTGCGGTGCAGTGCCACCATGGGGAAGGGTGGGCTCAGGTTTGCACATACAGCAGAAGGTCAGTCTCTTGGTTTTGCATGAAAACCACGGTGCCTCAGCCCCAAAACCTCTGTGCCTAATCACAGCACAGCATGGGCACATCGGAGGTGTTCCAGGAAAATCGATCCGTTGACTTTCCAACTGCTGATCAGTCAGAAATTGGCCCCAGAATGAGTTCCCACTCTGAATGCCCTGATTTTGCAGGCCCCTCTAGCTTGAGAACGACACAGTGTAGGAAGTCCAGAAGGCGGGTGGCAGAGCGATCAGGCAGAGGGAGGGGAGCGGTCTTTGCGCTCAGCCTTCATTTGTTAATTTACAAAAGGGGATTAGAGGGTTGGGTCACAGTGGTTGATTTGTCTTGTCCCGGTTAGCCGGAGGGGCCGTGGTTTAGTGTCCTGATTCGTGGGGGGAGGCCATGGTGCAGGAGAGGGGACGGAGGGGTCGGGACAAAGCCGGTGCACCATCTCATCCCCTGCAGAGGAGGTTGCCCTTGGGGCTCTGGGGAAGTGAAGACCCTGTATCCTCTGGAGCAGGGGAGGGGGTTTAGGGGAATGTCCCCCCATTCAGGCTGGGTTAGTGCTGGGGCCAGCCCCAGCTGAAGAAAATGCAAAGATTTCAAGCCAAACGTGGGCAATGCACAGGAATGCTGGTCTTCACCCGGCCCTCTGGGACACAGGGTAGACACCTGCTTCCTTTGCAGCCACCCGCTCAGCAGGCCTCCTGGTGCGCTGCCAGGCTGCCAGTGCCCCCCACCCTGTAGCCTTGGGGAAGGTGCAGTGAGCTGAGAGGCAGGAACTCATGAGCTCAGTGCTCCTTTCTCCTGCCTGTGGTCATATTGCCGTGCACTCCCCAGAGCCTATTCTCCCCCCGCCCCCACCTTGCACTCCAAGCCCAGGAGGCAGTCAAGTAGTAACCCTACCCCCTCTTACTATGGTAACCGATGCACAAGGTCACTTCAAGCAAATTGGGACTAACACCCCAGCCTCTGGCATGACCGACCCAAACTCAGCCACGCTGTCTGGCAGAGTGAATGTGCCAAATATACGTGCTTTGGCTACCCTATCCCTCACCATGAGACGACACTCCCCTCCAAGGGCAGGGAGAGGACCCAGGAGTCCTGTGTCCCGTATTCCCACGCTGTCTAGCAAATGGTCAAGTGTACACCCCTTCCCCCTCGAGTGGCTAATCCCCATAGGAAAGCCAGTGGCACTGGCAGAGGTGTGTGCTAGGTCTCCAACAGGCCAGAGCTCAACCCTGCTGGCTGCCACAGCAGCGATGGTTTCCAGCCTGTTCAGTGCTGTAAATGGCAGAGCCCCATGCAACATGCTGCAGGTACCGCCAATACAGTCACGCGTCCCATGGTGGCAGGTTAGGGATGAGCTTATTGAGCCTTGGCCAGCAGCTGAGCCGCCTGCTGAGCCACTAGTAGGTTTGGGAAGCTGCTACAGCTGGAAACTCCTCTGGTACCAGCCAGCGTGTTTGCCAGTGAGCTCTGGGCACCGGCTGAGGGAGAAACTGGGCTCAAGTGACCGAGGAGCTGATTAGGGAAGTGCCCATGGGAGGGGAGGAAACTGCCCCCAGTTCCACTTGGGGGTAAAGAGGGCAGGAAACAGGCAGATCCACGTGGGGATCCAGATTGGTTGGAAGCCAGCTCCAGAGTTACAGGCCCTGCTCTGGCTCCAGCTCGCAGCCTGGGGGCCTTTCCCAGCACAGCCAGGAGAGTTAATACAGTCTCAGTCCTTGCAGCTTTTCCACAGGGGGTGGGGGGAAGAGTGCTCTCCCCAACATCTGGGAGGCTCCACCCTGGAGAGGGGCAGATCCCCCTGCTCTGCACAGGCCAGGGGAGGGGGCTCCATGCTTCCCCCCCACCAGGCTCACCCTCAGCTGTCCATCAAACAGCTTGGCCTCCCCACATGCCGTCGGGTGTGCTGCCTGGCATTGGCACAGATGCACAAGCTCTGGCCCCTGAGGGGCCCTGGGAGCGGGCTGTTCATGGAATCACTGCATTTGGGGCACAGGGGTTCTGGGCTTTTTAAAAAAAATGCCCTCTACATTTTGGACCAAACTCCCCCACCACCCCCACTTAACCCACCAGCAGCCAGAGGCAGGATGCAGGAGGTAGATTGGCACTAAGCTATTCCTCAGTGCCCTAGGACTGGTGGGAATCCCCCCAGGCCCTGCCTGGCAGGCTGGGCTTTGGGCACTGTCTAGACAGCCCCTGCGAGCGGCCAGCTCGCTGTATGTGCATGTGAACAGTGTAGTTATGACACCCCTTCCTCTCCATGCAGAGCCCTGCCCCAGCCCCTTTGCCAGGCCTGATGCCAGCCCACCCAGCAAGCAGGGGGCCACACGTTCTTGCACTCCCCTGTTTTTAATGTTCCTTGTTTGTAATGGTTTTATACGTGTGTTCACAGTGATGTGGAAATAAAGTCTAGGAGGAGAGTCTGACTCACTGAACTGGGGAGGGACATGCCAGAGTGGCACCTGCTCATCAGAGGGAGGACAGGGGCATCTTGCACACACCCCCCTCTTCCAGCCCTGGGGCACAAGGGCTGCCCCCCTTGCACTTGGCATGGGACCTTCCCCTGAAGTGCTGCAGGCTTCTCATCCCATCACCCTCCATTGCTGCCATGGCTTTGCAGGGATAACGCTTGGGGGGTTGTGGGGGCTGCTGGGCTTGTGCCTACACTCTGGGTGCAATTGCTGCGTGCCCGGGGGCATGGAGAGGCTGCTCAGCCAGGCTGCCTCGCTGAAGCAGAGGGTGAGCTGTGAGTGCAGGGGGGAGCACAGAGCACAGTCTATATCTGACGGAGCACACACTATCCCCCCACCCAGGCACAGCTGCCCTAGCCAGCACCAAAAGAAGCTTGGATGGCCGTCTCTAGCCAATTGCTCAGTGCCCATGGGCAGGCCCCAGGGACACACCCTGGCCATGGGTTCTCCCATTCCTGCTCATTGGTCATGTATGGCCTGCAGCACCTTCCCCCGCGGCTCCCCCAGAGCTCTGGGAACAGGCAGCAGTTCAGCCCTGAATTCTCACTGGGAGGTCAGGAGATCAGAGAGGTTAAGGCCAGATGGGACCATTCAGTCTCATCTCCTGCAGAGCACAGGCAGAGAGCCCACCCCGTGATTGCTGCCACCGGCCCCTATCCAATCTTGAGTTAAGACTCCCTGTGACTGAGAATCCCCCAAGTGCCTGGTCAGCTATTCCGTGCGTTAAGTGGCCTCACTGTTAAAAGTGTGTACCTTATTTCCAGCCCAGTCACTGCTTCCAGCCCTTGGAACTAGTGTAGCCTTTGGCTGGTGGATTTAGGAGCTCTCTCCTACTAGAGATCCCTACCTTGGGGAGGTTGACGGACGCTGTGATCAAGGAGGGTCTGGTCTGTGAGGACTCCTGTGTGGTACCTTGCCCCAGCAGACTCAGCCCCATATGGAGGAGGCTCAGCTGGGCCCAGCTACTTCACTCCCCAAGGGGCCTAGCGGCAGCTGGGCACAAAAAGCAGCCAGCTCCTGTGGGGCAGTGTGAGCGGTGCTGCAGTCCCCTCAGTCCTTGCTCTACCCACCCAAGTGCAGGGGCAAATGTCACTACACTCAGACCACTGCCCACTACAGCAGGGCCCTCAGGGGCTCAGCAGGGAACTTGCTCTCTGCCAGAGCTAACAGCTGTCCTATGTCTGCAGGGAAGCACGAACCCTGCCACTGTGGGATACAGCCCTTACATCAGAATCATGTTCACAGTCTCAGCTTCCAGCACTCCCACGGGGGCCTGCAAAGAGGACCATGAAAGTGTGACCTGAATGTGAGACACAGTGACGCTGCCTGAGCCCATTGCTGGGGGGGAGGAGGGGGGAGCTGCCCTGAGTGACTGACATGGCGACGCTGCCTGCGTGTGCAGAGCCTGAGCATCTCGCTCTGAGAGAGGGGAGCTGCTGCTGCCCCTTGGGTTGTATCTGAAACCTAAAGACAATTTACATCACAACACTTAGATCCCCCCACAAATCACTGCAGCACGAACATCCAGCTCACATGCTTGCCCCCAGTGCCAGCCCCCGAGAACACCAGCGACGCAGTGCTGTGTTAGTAAATACCAACGTGGTGACAGGGTGGAACTGAATTTAATGGCCATTATATCCCAGCAGCACAGGGCTTGGATTTCACTACACGTGCCCCAGATTTTATTTTAAACGAAGCTGCCACCACACGCTGTACCTGCCCTCAGGATCCAGGCCCAGCACCTGGGGCTTGCTGGCCACTAAAGACCAGTGGGCTGCCAGCACTGTGGCAGTGACAGAGCAGATGAGGGTTTGCCCGCACACAGCTGGAGCCCTTTGGTCCATGCTGTGGGACAGCAAAAGAGCGCCTCGTGTAGAAGGGGTCCCTGGCAGGGCGTGCTCTGCTCTTCCAGGAGACACGGAGGCTGGCTCTGCCCACAAGGGCAACAGCCCAAAGGAGCATGAACCTACGCAGGGGAAAGGCAGGGCCCTGAACTGCCCCAAGACTCGCCTCTCCCCCCTTCCCCGAAACAGAGGATGTGGAGTCCCTGGGCTAGGGTCTGTTCACAGCACGTCACCCTTGGGGATGATGGGCAGACAGAACCCACACAAGTGATGACAGGGGCCCTGGCTGGGAAGCCAAACACAGACCCACATGAGGGCTGCTCTCCTGGCCATGGCCATACTGACCCCAGAGCTGCATGTGCATGGGGCAGGAGGAGGGAAACAGCCTGGGCACCACCACATCCCGCTTTGCCCGTGAGCCGCCTCCAAGCCACGATCAGCCTGCGCAAGAGGATGGCAGCTGAGCTCGAGCCAGGCGTGGGGGCTGGGCGGGGCTCAGTCCAGCAGCACCTGGCCCAGCTCCCCCTTGCGGAAGGTGCGCAGGAGCTCATAGGCAGCTGCAGAGTAGTCGGGCGCGATCACGTTCACGTCCCCTGCAAGAGAAGGCAAAGGCTGTAGGTGAGCGGGGCGCTCATGGCCCAGCTCAGCACCTCTGGATGGGCTCCAGAGTCCACAACTGTACAGACACAGCCCCAAATGTAGGCCGGGAGCGGGGGGAGAGGAGCTAGCCCTGGCTGGTCCCTGTGTGCTGCACGGCCCTGGTTCCATGCAAACTGACACAAGAGGCTCCCCCACAACACACCACGGCTCAGAGATCCTCCCTCCCCACACCCACAGTCACCAGACTCCATTGCTCCAACGGGCAACTCCTGCCAGCCCCCACTGCCCTTCCTGGTGCCAGCCCCACACCTTGGCCATGCCTCTTCAGGAAATCACGCTGAACAGAGGGTCTGCAGTTGGCAGAAGCTGGGGCGCTCCCCCAGAACCTGCAGTGGGTGGGGCATTCCCCTTCTGTCCCCCACCCGCCCAGCTAGGGGGCTCCCTCGTCCTCCCCTCAAGCCTTGGAATCTCCAAGTGGCATGGGCACAGCACTTACCCACCTCCCCACAGGCTCTCCGCCTGGCATGGGAGAGCACTCAACTGTTGACCCCCCCAGCTAGCTCTCACCCGTCCCGCCATGGGGTCCCAGGCCTGCAGGGGCACTCACCTGTCCCTGTGAGCACCTTCACTTTGTGCGTCCTTCCCAGTTTCAGTGCCACCCGCTTGAGCACGCTCTCAATGTCGTCGCTGGGCTCGCCCAGCCCGTAGCGCTCCACGTAGCTGTGCCAGGGCAGCGAGAGTGGGTTAGCACCAGCCAGGCCAGGGGCAGAAGCACCAGCCAGGCCAGGGTACAGGGCAGCTTTCCCTGTGCAGAGCACTTCAGTGCTCAGGAGCGTGCAGAGGGATGGTGTGGCTGCACAGCATGCAGTGCCTGTTCTGGGGCAGGGCCAGCACCCTCCATGTCACAGTTGACCAACCAGCCACACAGAAGACAGGTCCCAGGTCCTTCCAGGCTCCTTTCAACCCCATTAGTGACCCAAGCAGCTCTACTGCCACCTCCTGGGGACGGCAGGGATTTCTGCACATCCCTACCTATGTGGTGTCCCCGCTGCCACTCTACAAGGACGGCTGCCAGCGCCTGCTGGCTTCGGGGGCCTCTGGCAGCGAACACCTCGCTGCTGTGGCATGGGGCAGCAGGGCTGATACCTGCCCTTTCCAGGTGGGAGCCTTCACTAGCAAAGAGACAGGTTTCAGAGGGGTAGCCGTGTTAGTCTGTATCAGCAAAAAGAACTAGTGACTAACAAATTTATTTGGGCATAAACTTTCGTGCCCACGAAAGCTTATGCCCAAATAAATTTGTTAGTCTCTAAGGTGCCACAAGTACTCTTCGTTCTTTTCACTAGCAAAGCCACCCAGAAACCCCTGCAGACCCTCTGTACAGGAGGCTGGCTGTCCCTTTCAAGCCATGAGCGCTGCGCCTCCCAGTGGCCAGAAGGGAGCACTGAAGGCACCAGCAAAGCACAGCAGCCGATTCTGGGACAAGAGCTGCATTTTGTTCAACAGGTGCCAGCTCTTGCCAAGGCTTCAGGCCTCAGCCAATCACAGACAAATTCATTGCTGGAAACCAGTCTGTTTCTCCTGTGTGTCAGTACGGCTAAGGTGGGTACTGAACTTAGAACTTTATGAAATGTCTGTAAGTTGCTGCTTGCATCAATCACACTTGTAATATCTTTATCACAGGCTCTAAGATAAATAAGTTTTTGATTTGTAACTGTAAACAGTGTTTGCTCTGGAATGGTGAACCTAGCAAGGGGCATGTCTCCTGCCCATCAGGCAGGGCTATCAAAACTAAATGAGCCATTGTGGGACATCACAATACAAAGACTGTGTTAATTGTCCCTTCACACCCATGAAGAGGCTAGGAAGGAAATAAAAATAGCTAACATCTCCTTTGACTCTCCCAGGGCTGGAGCCACAAAACAGAAGCAGAGACCCCCCCAGGGTCAACCTGGGTTAGCCCTAAAAGACATTCAGTGCTGACAGATTGCTACAACTCCATCACCTTTAAAGACCATAGACACACTATATGGTTGCCTGCTTTAACCTTAAGAGTGCTCTCATTTCTTTTCCTAGTGAATACATCATTAGTTAGTTTACCATAGGCTTGGCTACAAATGTTGTCTTTGGTGTGAGATCTGAGGTACAAATGGACGGGACTGGCAGCAACCCAAATCTTTTGTGATCTTTAAATAAATTATAAATTAATGGAGATATCCCATCTCCTAGAACTGGAAGGGACCTTGAAAGGTCATCAAGTCCAGCCCCCTGCCTTCACTAGCAGGACCAAGTACTGATTTTGCCCCAGATCCCTAAGTGGCCCCCTCAAGGATTGAACTCACAACCCTGGGTTTAGCAGGCCAATGCTCAAACCACTGAGCTATCCCTCCCCCCGAGAGCAACCAGCCCTCACTAAGTCCAGCTTGCCTGGGTGGCAAGACAGACCGGAGAGCCCAAGGGGACTGTCTGTGATTCCATGGTGAGACTGTTCTAGTTCTTTAGGAGCCCACTTGTTACTGGGCTGGTGCAATCTAATTATAGACCATGCAACCAGCCTGGGGTGTCGCCCTGCTTTTGATAGTCTGCACTGAGGTTGGCCCTCAAAGTCATGCAGCGTGACACTCTGCATACACGCGCTGGGCACCACTCCACCTCCTACAGCCCCTTGTGGCAGCTCAGTGCAGGGGCACAGCCAGTCAGGCTCAGATCAGGAGCGGACAGACCCTCCGCTCTGGCAAGGAGCGCCCCCACTGCAGGAGCTTCCCTGCCAACAGCGAGCACAAGAGCAGACTCCAAGCAAGAGCTGAGGGGTGGCACTGGGGAGACATGGGCAGGAGCCAGCCCCCAAGACCAGGGAAGCCCCTGGGGTCTCAATGCATGAGCCCACCCAGCCCCACCCCCCGACCCCACAGCAGCCAGGTGCTCAGGAAGTGCTCACCTGAACTGCTGCTGCTTGTTCAGGGTGTACAGCAGGTAGTCGGCCATGACGCCCTCGCCCACCAGGTGGTCCCGGATGGCCCCTATGAGACACAGAACAAAGCCTGAGTGCCAGCCACGCAGGGCAGAGGGCAAGAGACAGCCCCGTCCGCACTGGCCTGGGAGCTGTGCCTCGACCCCTCTCCCCCAGGGCTCCAGCCGCCTGCTCTGGGGCCGGCTTGGTCAGCCTGAGAAAGTGTGCACAGGGCACCTTTGAGGCGCTTCTCCCCGGGAGCCACCCTGGGCACAGCCAGACTCCAGCCCACAGTGCCAGACACAGTATGGAGGTGGCCACTGGCCTACTAAGGAGCTCCCTGGGGTGGAGAAATGGGCTGTTCCTACTGAGCTCTAGAGCCTGCCGTGCCACCCCCACCCCGGGGCGAGAGCCCCAGCAGCTGATCTCCTGGATGTTCACCAGCTGCAGCTCACAGCCAGTATGGCCAGGCAGGGGAGAGGGGCCGGGCAGACAGCTGGGCTGGAGCACATGCGCTGAGTGATGCTCCCTCTCCAGGCAGCTGGGAGCAGCAGCCTGTCCCAAGCTGGGCTCCTCAGAGGAGGGGGACGGGCAGTGGCTCTGCCCCAAGCACCCAATAACAACATGTCTCAAGGCAGGGCCTGCACTGCCTCCACAAAGCCCTGCTGCCTTTGTGGAACGTGTCCCCCTCCCCCACACTGTGCCCATGATCATGAGCTCCAGGGCTTCCTATCGCAGCCCCAGCAGAGCCAAGTGAGGACAGCCCCTGGCCAGAAGCAGCTGCAGCTCCAGCGTCCTTCTCACCACACAGAGCCAGCTTCATGCCCGCCTCCACGCTCTCTATTCTCGGAGCCAGCACTCCAGGCGTGTCCAGCAGATACATAAGGGGCCTCTCGGAGACCTAGACAGGCAGAGGCAGGCTTGTTACGGAGCTGTGGGTCAGAGAGCAGAGCCCAAACCAGCACCCTGAGCAGTGCCAGCACAAACGGAGGGGACCGCTGGCACTTCAAAGATGATTACCCCCACCAGCCGACTTGGGAATGGCGTGCGACAACTCTGTGATCCACCAGCCCAGGGCAGAGACTCTGTGGAGCATGAACGCTGGCACCGGAAACGGCCCAGTACAACCGGGCACCCGCCCCAAGAGTCCCTCGAGCAACCTGCCAGCAGCCCAAGGGCCAAAGCAAAGCACAAAGCGGGGCAGAGCCCAGCCTCCTCCTACATGGGTCACCCACAAAGAACCATACTGGGCTGGTGTCATCCAGGATCTTTCCTGGCAGGCAAAGGAGGCCAAGGAGGGTTCCACACCAGGTGTGGGCTTCTGGCGCTCTGGCTCTGCTGGGGGATGAATGGAGGTGGGTTCAGAGCTCCCAGCCCTTACCCAAATGGGTGGGGGTGCTGAATCCTTAGAGAGCTCTTCCCCAAACCCCCTGGGGCTACTGGAGCACACCCCTATGTAACAGGCCCCAATCATCCAACAGCCTGCATAAACATCGCCTCTTTCCTGAAGCCAGCAGGTCTTCCAGAGCCAGCCAAGAGAAGGCCCGAACCCAGGGCCACTTCCTTTAAAGGTGACCTTTACCAGCAGTGCAGAGACTACAGATCCTGGCATGCACTTCATTGCAGTCCTGGGGACCTGGCGAAGCAGTCCCCTCAAGCCAGGCCGGGGAGCCCAGCTCCCAGCCCCATATTCTATCACTATGGAGCCACACAACCAGGCAGCACCCCAGGGTTATTCTGGAAGCTACCAACGCTGTGTTGTCCCAGGGGTCTCTTAACCCAGCCACCTTCTCACCATTTCAACTGAATGGCTACTGGCCTCACGCAGCCCCTCGTGCTGTGCACACATTAGCTACACGCTGTGTACATGGCCAGCACAGCGCCCCAGCCGGCCGTGCTCAGGGACACAGCTCCCAATGACAGTACCTGGATTCTGGTAAGCACGGCCTTGGTGATCCCTGGCTCGCTACCCACACGGGACGCTTTCCCTTCAGGAAAAGGAGAGGCCCAGTCAGCTGGAGAAGGAAGGCTCACTCTGGCCTGCCCTGCTCCCAGGGCACTGATGGAGCTTTGCCACTGGCCTCGTGGCGCAGGGGTGGGCCCTGTGCATATCCAAGAGATCTCCCAGCCATCCCTCTGATTAGTGTACCTCATGGGACTGACGTCCCAGAGCTGAGGCCCCGTTCAGCCAGCGCCTGTTCCCCAGAGAACCCCCCGTTTCTCTCTCGCTGCTCCTAAGCAAGTTCTGCCAGCCCCTCTGCATCCCTCATCGAACATCACAGCAACGGCAGAGCAGCTGCAGAGAGGGGAACAAGGGCCCAACTCCCCTGTTGCCTCCGGGGCCTCCTAGCTAAACACTGGCTAAGCCCAGCCCTGCTCAGTTTGGGTGACTGAACGGCCAGGGAAAAGATACAGCCTGCAGGGCCAATTCAGCAGCTGGGGGAGCCAGTTCTCTGCAGGAGAGGGTTGAACCACTAGGAGATCTGATGAACCCGCCCCAAGGCCACCTCAAAGCCCCCAGTCCTCCAGGGATTTGTGACCCATAGGCAGGGGGTGCTCTCCCCCCGCGCCACGGGGCACAATGGGAAGGCACACAAGGAAGTACCCTTTTTGAGGTGCAGCCTTCGCATGGAGTTGATAAGGGAGGATTTCCCCACGTTGGGCACTCCGATCACCATGATGCAGTACTCCACGTTCTGGAACAACAGGAAGGGAGATGGATGAGCCGCTCCCTCCCTTGGCAGCAATGCCAGGCAGCACCGCACCAGGCTCCACGTCCCACCCAGCCAGCCCCCAGATCCACCAGCCGGCACTGTGCCAGGCTCCCCGTTCCACTCAACCGCCCCTCCCCCCCCCTCCCACACACACACCACGCAGGGCAGAGCTAACAACAGGAGCGTGGATGTGTCCAGGCAGATTAATTTGGATCTGCATGGAAACAAGGAAAGTCATAAGCCAGCCTTGCCAGGGAATGGCGGCCGGCACAGTTCATTACACTCTTGGCTTCAGCACAGTCAGGTAGACCATCTGGAAGCCCAGGCCACCAGTGGAATGTTTCCATCTGAACAGAGAAGCCAGACTCTTCTCCCACTCAAACCGTGGAAAACCAGATTCACTCCACTGGAGTCAGCTTCTCTGCACTGATGCTAGTGTAACCAGGAGCAAGATCCAGCCCCAGGAGCTGAGAGCATGCTGGGGGCCCTACAATCACCAGAGCGCTGTATCTCCTGCTGATTCCAATGGGGACGGAGGGCTCTCAGCACTCTGAGAACCAGGACCTCTTTGGGCACCATCTACACGCCGATCAGCGCGTCCAGCTGGACAAGCCCTTTGCCCATGTGGGGAACCGGACAGCAGTGTGTGGGTCTCTCTCACACACTTTCCCCATTCTCACTCTGGCCCGTTAGCTGACCTCAGCTCTCTGGTAGCGCTGGCTTCTGCTGACCAGATCCGTGATGAGAGGGATGACCTGCAAGGCAATACAAAGACAGATGCTAAGCAAAGCACTGGTGGCTTTGTCCCGAGTGGGTAGTACCCTGCCGTTAGACTCCTTGGCCAGCACAGTGCTGCTACGAGCAGCCAGGCAGAACTCACTGACAGGACAAGTACGCCTCCTGCTACAATGCACCAGCTAGTGGGAAAGCCAGGGACTTCTCTGCAGCTAGCCTGTACTTTAACACAGTTTTAACTGGCAACTGCTTCCAAATGAAGGTGCTAACAGGATGGACAGAGACACGGTGGGGTGAGTCTCTCCTAGCCGGCTTTCACTTCTAGTGTGTTCAGAGTACAACTAATGCACAGCTTTAATGCAGGCAAAGCAGGGGAGACGGAATGTTCACACTGATGGTTTCGGTCCACATAAAAGGTAAGATTCTCCTCTGCCCTCCGCAGGGTGGATGTCAACTGATACCGAGCTCATTTTGCATGCACAGATCTCCCATTGCAGGGCAGAATATGGGAGCTGAGGACTCCCCTGCAGGTCTGAGAGAAGCGCTTGGCCACGTTTGTGGCTGCATGAGCATTTAATAACGTTTAAAATAATCAAAGCTTAACCCTGATGTCCCCGGCACGAGTGCTCAGATCCTACTTCTCAGTGTACCGCAACGGCCATGCCTGCCACTAGGGCACTGCTCAGAAAGGCACATTGTAGGGATGTCAGCAGGCAGTGCTGCCCATGTGGTCTCTCAGCAAGCCTGGGGGAAGGTGCACTCAATGTATGAGTAAAGAGATGCTCTTTCTAACTGCCAGCGCCACAAACTCCCCTGGGCTTAGAGGTTCAAGCTGGGCTCTTAGATCTGAAGTCAACAATTCCGAGGCGGCATTAGCTAAAGTGGAATCCTGTAGTCAAAATGTACTGCAGTCACTAATGGGACCTGATCTCACCGAGGCACCCGGGGCGCTGAACAGCTGAGTGCAGCACGGCTTGCCCTCAGCTCCATTGCGGAGCGGACACACACCATAAGGAATTGCTGTTAGAAGAGACGGGCTGTTACCTTCTTGACATTTTCATCTTTTATGCAGTTTGTGAAGAGGATGTTTTTAAGTCCTTCCTGCTCCAAGCGCTCCAGAATTTTCTAGCAAGAAATGAGAGATTTCCATGTCAGAGAATGCAGTGGCCCACGGTGCCCCCTTGCCCCAGTCACACAGGGCAAACCACGGTAAGGTTGCTCAGGCTGGAGCTAACTGGGGTGAAGCGTGCTGTAGCCATCAGCTGAGTTACCCTTCACAGAGAAGGCACAATGCTAAAACACAAATATCTGTTCAGCTCCCCACTACCTGTCTGGAAAGCATGAATGCTGGCCAGCTCAGAAAGGCCGACAGGCTCCTGTGGGAAACCCGGAGTCTAGACCTCCTGCTCTGTGCCTCCTTTTCCCTATCTGTAGAACGGGGATGACAACACTCAGCCAACCCGCCATAGCTCACAGGGGTGTGGTGAGGATCAGGGAGTGTTACGTGGCTATGCTACCTACAATGGAGACTGCAGGCTGAATCCAGGATCGTTCAGCCAAGTGGTATATGACAACAATAACAACAGCAGCAGCAACTCTGCTGCCTCTGCCGCACAAGGACCCCAGCCCCGTGGAGCCTCCATCCTGGCCCAGAGGACAGCTCTCTGGACTGAGCCTCACTGCTAGAGCCCAACAAGAAGAAAGTGTGCGAAGGGATGGTTCAAACACGGAGCTACTGGCAGATCAAGCCATCAGCAAGCGTGCCCTGCACAGGTCACTGAACAGCCAGGTATCAGCAGACACCAGTGGGGATTACTGTCAGCTGAGTGAAGGAGCTGTCCAGGGGGAGCCTATCTCCCCCACTGCACCCACTGGTTGGCTGGACGGTCTCCAAAAAGAGCTGCAGCTGGCTTGGACCCTGTAAAGACGTGGCCTGTTTGACAATCGGGGGGTGTTGGATCTCCTTAGTGCCATCTCGATGGACTGCTGGCCACATCCTGCAGCCGCAGCCTAGCGCTGGGAGATGGAGGACTAAAGGAAGAGGGAACAAGGGATGTTTATGAACTGAAAGCCTTACTTAAATACCTCCCCGTTTCAAACATGTCAACTATTTTTCTTTTCTTCTGGATCTTTAATAAAAGACTGTTTCACGGTGTGTTTGCCATGGCACTAAGCAGGCTGAGGCCTCTGTATACCAAACTCTGAACCTTATTTAACACTGTTTAACGTTGGGACAGTGCCTAGTTTATGTTAACACATTTGGCCCAAAGGGGAGAGCTTCTCCCCTCGGCGTAACTAATCCATCGCTGAGGCGCACTAGCTACATGAACGGGAGAAGCCCTCCTGTCACCATAGCGCTGTGTACACAGGGGGTAAAGTTGGTATGACTGTTTTGCTCAGGGGTGTGGATTTTTCAAGCCCCTGAGCCACATGGTTATACCACTGTAAGTTTATAATGTAGACCTGGCCTCAGCCCCAACGTTTACTCTAGATTACAAGGAGAAGCTGCATCAGTGAATTAAACAGGAAGATGGTTGTGAAGAGTGGGAGGAGAAAGACGTTAAACTGGGTTCTTACTGCTTTGTGAGTCAGATCAGCCAGGTCCATTTTGTTCAGTACAAGCAAGTGAGGTCTGATTCCCAGGGCCTCCTGGAAGGCCGGATTCCGGCCTGAGAATGGGATGTGCTACTGTTAAGGAAGCCAAAGAATTGAGACACCCGCAGTGACAGGGAAGGGTCCAGCCCATAGAACTCTGCTCCATCGGAGACAAACTCTCACCTCCCACAAGGCAGGTTCCCGCAGCCGCGTCAGCACACCACACCATGGCAAGGCCCCAGCCCGGGAGGGAAGCAGTGGGGAACAGAGGGCAACACACAGCCCCGTGGGCTCTACGTACTGGCTTTGGAAAGACACAGCAGTGGAGGGGATACACATGGTGCTGCGCAAGGGGGCAGGGCTCCGCTATGCTGCTTGGGCTCTGGCGGTGGTGCTACCAGCACAGCCTCCACCCAGGCCACCTGCTCCAGCCACCAAAGGATATTCGGGCATCGTGCACCTCGATGAGGCAGTCCACCTTGCGCAGCGACTCCTTCATCTGCCGCAGGCCTGCCAAAGTGGAGCCAGGTCAGCTGTGTCCACCAAGCCTGGCCAAAGGGGAAGGGACTGGCTCAGCCCTGCCCACAGCTGGGACCAGGCCCTGGGCAGAGATGCCCCACGGGCCAGGCCCGAGCCTGCCTGGCCATAATAAGTAGGGTGACCAGATGTCCTGATTTTATAGGGACAGTCCTGATATTTGGGTCTTTTTTTCATATTTTCTCCTATTACCTTCCACCCCCTGTCCCGATTTTTCACACTTGCTGTCTGGTCATCCCAATAACAAGGAGTCTGCAGGAGTCCGGACTTCCAGCGGGCCCCAAATATTGCGGGAGTCGGGACTGACAGGGCTACCATCTTTGAAAGGCAGCAGACCTGGTACCCCCGGACAAGGCAAACCCAGTATCCGGAGAGAGACCACACACAGATCGATCACAGCGGGTCTCCCCCGCTTGGGGCGCCTGCACGTGGCGGGGGCAGGCAGCTGTTCGGGGCAGGACGGGCTCCCGCGTACGCTGCGGCGGGGGAACGCGGCCGGCTCCGTAGCGGGCACAGACACTGCTCGTCCCCCGGGCGTTGGGAGAACAAGCGAATCTCTAGCCCCACGGCACACAACCCGGCAAATCCCTGAGCCGGCCCGGAGCACCCTCGGGCAAAGCGCCGCACCCCAGCCCCCCACCTTTCGCCATGTGCCCGGGGAACCAGGAGGCCACGTTCCGGCCGCCGAAATCGAAGCGCTCCCGCCAGGCCCGCAGCGCGCCCGCCGCCAGCCGCATCCCGCCGCCGGAACCCACCAGCCGCCAGGGGAGCGACCCGGAGCGCGCCTCCGCAACACCCCCCGCCCGGCCAGCTTCCGGTTCCGGCCGCTCATAGGCCCCGCCCCCAGACCACTCTGCCGGGCCCAGAATAACGGGAGGAGCCAAAACGTCAGAACCAGAGCAGCGTCCCAACAACCATTCTACGGGGTGTGTGTGTGTGTCCCTCATCGCCTGGCAACAAGGCAGTCATAGGCGCATCTATGACCCGCCCCTGCCCGAACTCCGGGCCCTGGGGACCCGCGCTGTAGTGTGACTCCATTGGGGGCGTGGCTTTGTGACGTGGGGTGTTGGGCGGGGCTTTGTTGGGGGCGGGGCAGTGGTGGTTGCGCATGTGCCGCGGGGGCGGCCCGAGGTGAGATGGCGGCGCGGGAGCTGCAGTTCTGTGAGCTGGGAAGGGAGGGGGCCCGGCGGGCTGGTTGGTACCTGGGGCGGATTGAGCCGGGCTGGTACCGGGGGGGGGGCAAGGCACGGTACCGACCGCTGCTCCTGTGACACACACCCCCTCCTCTCTCTCTCCCCCCAGGCAGCGATGGCAGAGCCGCGGTGTGAGGGGCAGCCAGGGTGTGGCACAAGGAGTACGGACTCATCCCCTGGCCTGTCAGGCACGTCCCCCCCAGCTGGGGCAGCACCCCCCGCAGCTCCCCCCGCCAGGGCAGCGCCCTCTGGGCCAGGCACAAGCCCCCTTCCCAGGGCAGCTCCCCCCGTGGCGCCCCCTGCCATGGCATCAGCACCTGTGCCAGACAAAAGCCCCCCTGCCAGGGTAGCTCCCCCCACTCCATCTGAAACAATGCCCCCCATGCCAGCCGAGGAAACACCCATGCTGCTGCTGGATGATGTGCGATACCAGATCGCTTGCACCAACTGGTACTAGAGCTGTCCAGCTCCACTGCATCTGGAAGGCAAGTCTCAGACCCCGCAGCGCCAGGCACCCAGTGATGCAGATGGACTCCATGTCGCCTCCAGGAGCACTTGTATTACTGCCCTCCTTGAAGATGACATCCTGCATACTGCTGCTTCTGATGCTTTGAATAAAGAGCCAGGGTCAAAGCTGCTGAGTTCCTGCTCTTCTCTCCGGTTACTAGGCTCCCATTTCTACCAGCTTTCATGCTGATATCCCCAAATCATGTGGACAGCAACTCCTGTCATAACCACAGGGCTTTACTCTCTCCCCTCACCCACAGAAACTTTCCTTCCCAAGGGGCCATATCCCCTCTCTCTCCCATGCACACGTATCCTGCCTTCTTGTGCTTTATACACTAACAGAGCCTGTACACACAGTGTGCTGACTGCACAGCTTGCTGTTTTCAGAATCAAATCCACTTTTTGCTGGATTTATGCTTCTCCCCAGCAAAAGATATTGCCTTCCCAAAATTCACCTTCCAACCCCCACCCCACCCAATTGAGCTACAGAGTTGTTCAATACAGAGTTGTCCAACACAGAGTTGGGGGGAGGGATAGCTCAGTGGTTTGAGCATTGGCCTGCTAAACCCAGGGTTGTGAGTTCAATCCTTAGGGGGGCCACTTGGGGAGCTGGGGCAAAATCAGTACTTGGTCCTGCTAGTGAAGGCAGGGGGCTGGACTCAATGACCTTTCAAGGTCCCTTCCAGTTCTAGGAGATGGGATATTTCCATTATTTATTTATTTTATAAGACCAGGTTTTTTTAATAATGGTGAGTGCGTTCTCTCTCCCACCACTCTAATACTCAAAGGCAGCTAAAATCTTTTTTAAAAACTGCCCTCTGCCAGAAAGCAAGTGTGAATAGCAGGAGCCCAAACTGTGAGGTTTGCAGCGCTGTGAGTGACTGTAAACAGTGTGAAAACAGAAACCATTGTATAGCCTTAGTTGGAGAAGTTGGGGCTACCTCTACCATCATTTTTGCTGCTCACTTCCTAAAGTGCTGAGTAAAATAATTGCCTTTAGGCAACATTTGTCCGGTTTCTAGAAGTGCGAAAAGAATGAAATAACCAGCGTGCAGACTTCCTTCAATGTTGCCAATGCCATGTACACAGGGAACAGAAAAGCATGCCTACGCACAACGGTATGCGGTAAGATTCCTCCAGCCAGCAAAAATACATAGACTCTCACATGATGGGGAATTGCCACAGGGTCAGAATGGGCTCACCACTTCATTGCAGTAGGGTTTCTTTGGGTTTGCAGTGGCTTAGCTGGGAGCAGCACTGGGCTCCATGTGTTCAGATCTAACCAGACTTGGTCTATGAGGCTTTAAGTGCATGTCAAATCTGAACTTGTGCAACAGGTCTGAAAATAGCAGTGTAAATGGTTCTCAAACTTATTTGATCGCACCTCCCTTCTTTGTGGCTGTAGTAGTTTACACCCCCCAACTCTGAGTGCTGCCCAGCAGCCACTGCTCTGCGAATGCCCAGCTCTAAATGTGTAAAGTGAATTTTTTTCCTAAAGCTTCTCATGGTCCCCAGAATACATTCTGCACCCCCAGTTTGAGAACCTCTGGTGTAAGAAGTCTCTATCTCCCTGCTGGGGAGAGAGAGGGGAGAGTGGCACTTTATTCAACTGACAGAATGGCAATGCATTACAGTTTTCTAAGAATTAGTGCCAGGGTTCATAGTACTTGACTGAAACATGCAACTCTGTGTGGTGCCAAGGCCATTGGGAGGAAGCTAAGGGGTGCCATTGACACCTCATCCCCACTGTGTTCCAGCAGTCTCACTTCACAGCAGCTTGGCTGCTGGCCACAGAGGCTCTCTTCGCAGCAGGCTGAACCTTGGTCCGAATAGCATGGTAGATGAGGCACTCGTCTGCAGTGATTTACTGCCTGGGCAGCTTCTTGTAGCAGATCCTCTGATGAGTCTGTCCTCCTTGGGAGGTTGCACAGCAGCTGGCAGTTCAGTGTGACCAGCTGGTGGTGCTCTGGGAGGGGGACAGAAGGGCATTGGGGTTTCTGGCTCAAGAGCAAGGTGATGGCTGTGGAATGGAATTGTTCCCGGTGTCATTTTAGACAGGACAGTATCCCACATCAAAGCTAGCTGCTCCTTTCCTTACCACCACCCCAAGCTAATTTCAGACCCTCCCTCCTTCCCTTTGCCAAGCGTCCGGATCAGCCCTCCCTCGTGGAAGGGCAAGGAATTGGCTCCCTCCTTGTGTCCTAGATTGTTTCAATGGATTCACTTCCCCTCTCCTCACACCTACACTCTCCTCCTTTCCCTGCTATCTCTCAGTGCTGGAGGATCTTCTAGCCAGCAGCCTGGCCCTCTAGAAAATGAGCCCCTACCCCCTCCTGTAGTTCAGTTTTGCCCCACTCTCATGCACCCGACATTGCGATTCTTGTCAACAACTTGGGCTTTGGTGCTAAATGCACCCGTCTCCTCCCAGGGCTGGGCTGACTCCTCCAGCTTAGTAGAGTGCTGGGGGCTGGTGTTCCTAGTCCCCTCTTGCACAGTCACATTGCTGTGGGGGTCCCAATGGCTATAGGCAGAAACTGCCCTTTGCATGCCTCTTCTGATCAGTGGCTTCAGTTTACTTGACACCAGCTCTCCAGGGTGAGAAGAGCCTCCACCCACCGCTGCATGTCTGCCCCTGCTAACTCCACCCTTCACTCATCTCCACTCCACAACCTTGGCATCATTACTGGCCCTGCTGTTCCCACCCTTGCAGCACGGCCTGAGTACACCACAGCCTCATCAGCTGTTGTCCTGGCTCCCGCTGCTCATCTCCATGGTCTCTGGCTTGTACATGGCTTAAATCAGGGCAGGTTGAGTGGATAACAGCCCAGCCGAGTTCAGAGGGATTTTTACCTGGCACTAATCTCTTCCAGGGAGCAGGCAAGCTGAGGCCAGACTGTGCTTTCACACTCCCGGACGTGCGTAAGATTCGTGCTGGTGTCTCCTGCTGGCAAGGGGAGGGGATGCTCGGCCCCCAGGAGCTGCTCTGTTTTGAACAGGAACAGCAGTTTCCAGGCCTTTAGGCAACAGCAACGAGAGCCAAGTGTTCCTCTCCCTCCTGTCTGCACAGTCACAGGGACGGGGTGAACAAACTCCTAGACAATGGAGAACTCGCCCTAGGGCCCAGGAGAGGTGGCTGCCCCTAGGTTTCCCTTAGGCTGTATTACCTGGACTTGCTGTTGGTGTCTGTGGGGCAGGCTGAGGGGCATAGCATTCAGCTCTATCCTCCCCACACCTTGGGGGCAGGGCCCTACTGGATACGGGGCCACCAGGCCTTTGGGACACTAACGTTACCCCTCAGCCAGGCAAGGATCCACCTATTTTTGCCCTGGAGAGGACAACAGGGGAAATTCAGCCGGCAGTTTTCACACAGCCCTTCCATGGGCCGACTTCCCACCCTAGCGATGGGAATGTCAGAGCTGAAGTCAAGGCCCGCTGGAGAGAATGGGACTCTGCCCATTGCTTTCAGCAGGGCTTATGGGTCACATATTTACACCGCTTATCTCAGGAGTGTTCGGGGCTTGTGACCTGGCACATGGGTCACAAGTTTACAGCGGCTGTCTCAGGAGTGTTCAAGGCTTGGGTCACACGATTACACCACCTGTCTCAGGAGCGAACGGGGTTTGTGGCCTGACATGTGGGTCACACATTTACAGCACCTGTCTCAGGAGCATCCTGGCTACCATGTTCCTCTCAGGGGCAGGCGGAGAAGACAAGCTGCAACCACAAAGCCCTAACAATAGAGATTTACTTGTTACTACTGACAGCACTCCATTGCATAGTTAGGTGACATTTCAATTCCCCAGTCCTTGTCCATGTGGGTGCTGCAGCTCCCAGTGCTGGGTTCACGCCTACAGCTACCCTGCCTTTAGTCTGATCGCAGGGAGATCAGAGAGACAAGCCACAAAGAGCGGGTGCGCCAGCTAGAGACAAACTAACCCCTTTCCCTTGGCAACGGCAAGGGACAGAAGGAATCAGAGGTTGAGGAACAAGCTGGAAACCAGAAGCCGGCAGCATCCCGGCAGCAGGGAGAAGCGAGCAAGCGGTATCAGAGCCGAGGCTTGTGCTGGTGGGATTCAGACGTGTCATACAGGCTGAGTAGACGGTCGGCCTCCCGCCAGCCCGACAGAAGGGCCCCATGCGTAGTGGAGTAGAAAGTCCGATGCGTGGCTTCTCCAGCAAAGAGAACCTGCTGCGGCTGCAATGGGAAGAGCAGAAGCAGGCGTGAGCACAGCACAGCACTTGCAGGGTTAATCACACTGTTCTTGGACTCATGCGGAAAGGCGGCTGCATG